TAATAAATTAATAATGGACATTTACTTGAATAATGACTAATTAATAATGACCAAAAGTCCTACATTGGGAAATAAAAACATATGGTCCTATATTGGGAAAGTCATTGTGTTTTAGCCCTATTTAGGTAAATTACTCATAATATTATTTGAAGTGATAAAATTTTAATATATCAAAACTAAATTTTAAAATTAATATTATGATATTAAATTTATATCATCATAAAATATATTTTTTCATAATTTGTAGTCCACTCGATCGAATATATCCGAAACCGAAATATATCCGAACCGGACTAGACCCGAAACCGAAATATATCCGACTCAAATTGTATCCAAATCAAAATCTATCCGAACCGATTCATAACCGAACCGTATCTGAACCGACTCGAAACCGAACCAAACCGAAAAATGTATAGAACCGAAATCAAATCCGAACCGAAATTTAACCGATCCAAACCGAACCGATTATAACATATAACCGAAAGATATCCGAACCGAAAAAGTTCAATCCGGAACCGATCCGGTTGATCCGATTGCCACCTCTAATCATAATAAACCCTACTCCCCTTTTGTTCCTACTTTAAACACCACATGTTATACTCCCAATGTTCTAAATTTGAGTACAAATTAGGATCCACAAGCTAAAATTTATATTTCTTGAAATTATTTTTTTTATAAATTGTTACATCAATAAAAAATAAAAATATATACTAAAAAATTTATTTTAAAAATTAAGTTTTATTGATCTGCACCAAGAACCTCGATCAAAAGTTCTCCATGCAATATCTTGAAAAGCACCAGTGTTAGCAAGACAATATGCAACCTTCTTTTGTTCGCAAAAGATGGCTTGGAAGCTTATTCCACAGAACGTGTCTTTATTGCTCTTTATTGTTGTAATGGTATAACCTTAATCTTACTTGGCACTTTAATCTTCTAAATAAAAACCACTTGCCTTCCCACACGTTGTGGGCAAATTTCCTAATTAGATTTTAAGCTGGCGTAACCAAAAACTTACGGTACGATCATAGTTCTAATAGTACAGAATTCATCCATTTACAACTCTGATCCATAACTCGTAGTTGCATCAAATAAGTAATTCTATGTGGGAGGTTTGGAATTTTCTCCCAATTTCACCCACTATAGCCATTCTAAAGTTCCACAAGTCTAACATACAAGTCCTGCTAGCTACCAAATTCCTACACGAGATCACAGTGATTTTATATCAACCAAAGTATGATCATGGAAGAACCTCGTCTTTTGCCCATAATGAGCTTAACTTGAATCAAATACACAATCATCTCGTCACAATTCCTCTCCAAGCATTAGACATAATCATATCGTCACAATTCCTCTCCAAGCATTTGACAATTCCTTCTTGTTTATATTATAAAAATATTATTTTCACCTTAGGCTTCAACATGTTATAAAGTGATATTTGTACATACTTTTTCAAACTATTGAAGTCCGAAGAGTTATTGTCCTTTCTAGGGTTTGAACACATGACCTCCCATTTGGGAGAGTTATATAGGAGTGTCAATAAGGTTTAAAGTTTTTGGGATCGGTATCCTATTAATTTAAAAAATATTATCTAATTAGGAGTAAAACATAGAGAATGTACCAAAATATAATTTTCATATTTTTAAGTTTAAAATAAGGCTATTGTCCTCTGAGAAATTGTTATTGTGTATTGATATTCTATAGTATTTTTTGGTATTATATGTTGGTATTATTGGCATTGAAATTCCTATTTTAAATATAAAAACATACCTCTTTTATTTTGATACTTTTTTTATTTTTACTCTTAATTTAGTCATTTTCGCTTAATTAATGCTGAAATTGTTCACCATCTCACTTGGGCCTTGGGCCATCGGTTTATTGTAAAGCCCCCCCTAAACTGTAAAATGATTTTACACCGATGATGTTAACAAGGGCACGTTAACCAGGGCGGAGTTTAAAGTATTTGAAGCCCAAGTCCAAACATATTTTGGTCTGCTATTTTGCTTCCTTTTTGTTCCAAGTTCTGATTGGGTTTTCATTTGGTTGTAGCCAATATGATCAGGCCCAATTATCTTACTAATTAATTATGATCCGGCCTGCGATTGTATCTTTTCGCCCATTTTAGGCGGTTTGTTTATTATTTCATCGTTAAATTTTATTTATTTTAATAACTTGTTTTAATTAATCATTTGAAGTATTTATATACTTATGTTATTTCTTGTTTTTTAATAATCTTTCATGTAATATTTAAATTAATAAATTTTATTATTATTCTACAGGATCAAACAAAAAACTAGCTTCTTGGCGTTTGTGCCAATTTCTAATGCCATAGTGCAGAGGAGCTGTTCGCATAATATTTGAAAGATATTTTAGTCGAGAGAGGTATTGGTGAAACAATAACAGAATCATGAGAGGTAGCGATACAAGTTTTGAAACTATATAAAATAATGATACGGAGTATTTATTTATCAGATCGCAGAGAATCATGACAAACTGGTCACAATAATTTGCACATCCTTCAACAAAATTAAAACTCACCCGTATGATTAAATGTAAGACATTCAATTTGTTGTGGAAACGTGCTGTGGGAGTGTGTGTGTGTGTGTGTATATATATATATATATATATATATATATATATATATATATATATATATATATATATATATATATATATACTATCAACTTCACCTGCTCCCACGTGATAATGTGTCTCTTAAACTACACTACTCTCTCTCTCAAATTAATTTTCTTCTTTTTATTTGTGAGTTTGTTTTAAATATTAAAAATCCATGATAATTTTTATTTTTTTAAAACGAATTTTAACGACTCACTTTTTACATTTTACACTTTTTCAAAATTACGTGAAATCAAACAAAGATAATAAATTTAGAGTAATATTATTATTCTATCTCTGTGATTCCATTCTAAAAAATACTTATTGTTTGAGGCAAGACGGGGTTATGGTTGAAGCTTTTATAACTAAGTAAATAAACACTTTGAATTTAGATTATTAAAATTTATTTTTCAATTAAAGTGATAAAATATTTTGACCTTTTTTGGGGACTGGGAAAGGTTAATGGGAGTATCTTATTTTTTCAACTACTAAACATGCTAATCACAATGTGATACATAGTGATAGGACACATAATGAATGGATAAAACTTAACACAAGAATTGAACCATGGAGTAGATTTTGAGCTCACATAATGAAAATGTTATTTCCTTAACAACAAACTAAACACGGAGTATGATTTTAAATAATAAATATCATAAAAATTTGATATATCAAAATTACGGGATATATCTCAAAATAAACTTAATTTTATTAAATCTATACTATAATTAAATATATTTTTTTAGGACTTGTAGCCAAATGATAGGATAGTATATTAATTATATTATTTCATTAGTTATTTATTACTCCCTCCGTCCCAAAAAGATTTACACGTTTCAAAAAAAAGCGTCCCACAATCCCTTATCCATTTCCATTAAAAAACCATTTTTACCCCTTACTTTTTCAAACCCTACCTATCACATCATACCTTTTTCCTAATAATCTACACATCACATCAAGGGTATTTTTGGAAAGTCAACACAAAATTATCACTCCCTAATTTCAACTTTAGTCAAAATGGGTAACACTTTATGGGACGGATGAAGTATTAGGTAGTTATTTATTAATATTATGTAGTTCATCATGTTTAGGCTTTTAGTATGCGCCCGAGCCCATTAGGTCAATTAGGGTTACCTGAGCTTTCTATATATTGTAACTCTTCATTATTGTTAATCAATCAATAAACAATATAATAATAAAAATCCTAATCTCATCTCTCTTTTCTTGGAGCTTGGAAACGCTCGAAGTTTTCCTTCTCTCTTTGCGTCCCCTTTATTGGATCCCGAAGATGCTCGAGGTTCTTCCCTATCCGATACAATTTTTGTATCAATTGGTACTCTCGTAGAGAGGCGATTTTCGTATCACCAAGTGATAGACAAAGTTTGATTCCTGACAATTGCATTGAGAGTCAATTATATATACTCCGTATATATTAATCATAAGACCCTTGTGATTAGTCCAGACTCCATCATTTACCATCAAATATGCGAACAAAATCTAATTCATCTCTTTTCAGTAACTGTTTGTGCATGCAGATCTCAAAGGCTTGGAGGACGAGGGTCATTTTTCTTTTTTACTTCTCTTATTGAGCAAGTCCAGCCCTAGTTGTCACTCTCTCCAAGAAATTATTTTGCCTATAAAATATTAAAATGCAGAAGCTAGCTAGGATGTACAGGGAGCAAGTAGATAAAATCAAAAGACACTCTTCTTCAAGCCAAGGACCACACACAAATAATTAATAAAGCCAGCCAACTGTAGTTCTTGAAAGAAGAGATAGATACTTGAATTCAATTTCAAAACCCTATCTCCTCTGCACATCACTGAAAAGAACTCAACTTGTTCAAAGTCTCACATATGTTTTCCCCAAACAACAACCCTTTTTTTCCCAAAAGCCCCCTACCATTTCCATCTTATTATGACCTTCAAAACCCTAGCAATGGAGATCCCCCCTTCTTCTTCCCCTTCCCTTCCCCTTTCCCGGGCGATAATCGCGGCAATGATCACGACACGCCCTTGGGCCAGATATTCTCCCAACGCCGCCACCTCCCTGGACCTAACCACGTCCGGGGAGGCGAAACAGCGGAGGGTAAAAATGTCATTAAGAAGAAAAGGCCCGCGGGTTCGGGTCTGAGGAGGAGGATGGGGAAGAAGGACCGGCACAGCAAGATCTGCACGGCGCAAGGGGTTAGGGACCGGCGGATGCGGCTGTCGCTGCACGTTGCAAGAAGGTTCTTTGACCTCCAAGACATGTTAGGGTTTGACAAGGCTAGTAAAACCATTGAGTGGCTTCTGTCCAAGTCCGAGTGTGCAATCAAAGAGCTCATCACATCTCCATCTAGTTGCAGTGAAGAAGGGAACAATAAGAGCGAAGCGGCCGAGGGCAAAAACGTCTTTTTCGGGAAAAACGAGCCGATGGAGAGAACGAAAGAGAAGGCGATGGTGTATGAACATTGTTCAAACCCTACAATAATAAGCCCTTTTCTTGATCAAGAATCAAGTTCTTATGGCACCAAGGAAAACCCCGACCCGATGGCGTGGACGGACGAATGCTCGTTGGGAGGAGCAAGCTCCAGGAAGACGACGACGAAGATGACGACATCGGTGTTTAAGTATCATCATGAGGATGAAGAAAAAGAAGAAGAAGAAGAAGGAGAAGGAGGTGATTACAATATGATTATTACCAATAATGGCAACTTCATGGGGTTTCCTGGGAATTGGGAGATGGCTCCATTTTGATTCAGGTAAAAATATTACTAAAGCATAAGGGTAATCTTCAGAAGTAAATCTCACTTGAGAGAGTTTTCTTTTGTAAAATAAAAATTAATTAAACCCTCATAATTTCTTTGGGAAGTTCTCCTACATTTAATTTCTTTATTTTGAGCATGCATGTGGACCAAGAAAAACATTTATCCTCCAATAAATACTGGACTTACTTTAATTGTTCAATTCATTGATGATAATTTATTAATTGTAGTTTATTTTCAGATAGGGACTATATTACCAAAACATTTGGGAGCATATAAAATATAATGTACTCTGTATAAAATATAAAATGAAACAAACTCTTAGGATCAAATTTTATTCACTTTCTAAGCTTATTTTGGTATAGTATTTAAAATTTATTGAGATTGTAATGTACACCCTACCATAATTATTAACCCAAACCTAATCAAGCAAATCTCCAATTAACCCTTGGATCCATCAATGCACAACCATAACCGCGGCTATGTAATTTTGGGGTTAATGACTATATATACTCACTCACTCCCTTCTTTTTTATTTGTACATTTTGTTTTGTTATTTCACACCTTAATTGACTAGTACTAGTAACTCCATTTTGGAGTATAAAAAATTAAAAATATACTCTCGTTTTTGAAAGAAAATGAAAAAGTTAAAGTTTTTTTAATGGATAAACAAAAAAGAAAAATGTGAGTTTAATTTAGGGAGAGATATAGTACTACTTTAAGAGGATGTTTAGCAGTGCATTGCTTTTAGTAATTTAGTTTCTGCTTTGAGTGGAAGTAATTTTATTCTGTTTGGCATGTCAGCTTCTGCTTTTCACCACCACTATTTTGTACATAAAACACCGTTTAGGAGAAGGAGGTATGAGGTGTTTTTGCATTCAGCTTTTGTGGAAATCACTTTATTCACAAGTTAATCACTCCCAAACACCCTCTAATTTTGATATGATCACTAATACGGGAGTAGTAAATTGTAAACATTACAAAGTACTCCGATCCTTAGGTCTAAAAAATCTTACTCAGATCATTTTCTTTTCAACTTATTCTTATTACTTTTTCTTATTTAAATCAGTTCAATTTAGATTAAATTAGATATCAAATCAGAAATAGTTTTAAATGTAACTACATTGAGGTCAAATCACACCAAATCATATTAGAATTTCTTCCGTTCAGATGAGAGTCATTCAGATAAGGTGAAGAGAACAAGGTCTTACTCAGCTCATTTTTTGTTTTCTAGGTCTCAAGAAGTAGAGTAAATTCTATAATTAGTCTTATATTATCAAATATTACATCTGATATCTTTTTATGAGATTCTTTCCACAAATAGTCCTTTTTTTACTTTCTGTCACTTTGGTGTTAATTATTTAAGAACTAAAAGTGTAATTTGATATCAATTCTATGTCTAGTGATGTATTCTGATGTCGGCTACACACACAACACAACAATAGTGATTATGGATGTGGACTATGATTCCGACCAGAGATGACATTTATAGACTATGTTTGTAGTAGACAGCGAATGTGATTCACAAGCGACACATTAGGAGCGACCTTTTGCATTGAATATAACAAGAAATATATATGAGCATTGTCAAATTATACTTTTAGCCCTCAAATTAACATCAGCATGATAGAAGATCTAAAAACTATTTGTGGAAAGGAACCTAAAAAGAAGAATTACGAGCGTAATTTTTGGTAATAAATGACGACTGAATATAGAAAAACCTCTGTAATAAAGAACCAATTATGAAATTTACTCAAAAAGTACTCTGAACTTATTTTGTTTTGTTTTAAGTAATGAACATCTAACATGCAAAATTTTCTCCCATCTAAATAAAATCTAATCATTGACTCCGTATTTATTTGTTCAATATTTTCATGAACTCCGTAACATACAAACTTATGTCCCGTTTGGCATCAGCGTTAGAGATTAACATTAGCGTTTTGAAAAAGCTATCCGACGGTAGCTTTTAGCGTTTTCTGAATCAATCTGCAACATTAAATTTTTTTTCCAAAATGCTAACGCTAATTGAAAACGCCATTACCAAACAAAGCCTTAATATACCATGTTTTTTTAGACAAAAGGAGCATGTTGTTTTGTAATTTGGGATATACTCCGTATAATTGTGTTTGTAAATCCGGCATAATTTTGTTTTTACGTACTACCCCTGTTTCAAAATAATCTTACATTTTTCTCTTTCTTATTTTAAAAAAGAATGTATATGACTAAAAGTATATATGTCTATCCTCTAAACAAATTTCCACATAATCTTCACTATTTGATAAGGAGTATTTTTACAACATTTTTATTGTGTCCGTGAAGTTAAAACTAGAAATCATTTTCACAGTTGAAGTAAATATTACTCCAGTACATTTGTTTGAAAATCCATATTATTACTTGTGTTCTACAAAACAATTTCACGTAAACTTTTTACGCATCACACAAAATACTTATATAAAGTGCATTCACGAGAATTTCAAATGGATAAAGTTATTTTGTGAAATGTATAAACAATTAGGACAGAATTATTATTTTGTGAAATAATGGAGCTAGGCATCGGAATATTTTAGTCCCTTGCTAGGGCTAGTACATGCACGATGGTAGATAGGTAGGATGCTGGGTGGGTGGGTTGAGGGGGGGGGGGGNCTAGACAAGTAAAGCCAACCTCAACAACTTTTCTTGTCCAACCACATATACATAATATACCCACACAAATACTCTAACCTTATTAAAATCTTCCATTTAATGTGTGGTACTATACGTACCTAGTACTCCACTGCTCCTTGCCCCATTTGTATATTTATTTGGACCATGCTAGGGTGCCACCACATGGGTGCTACCATGGGTGCATCCATGCTTCGCACAGACAAACACAGACGATAATTGTTTGTGCGACACAGACAATTATCGTCTGTGTTTGTCTGTGCGAAGCATGAGTGCACCCATGGTAGCACCCATGTGGTGGCACCCTAGCATTTTCCTATTTATTTTTACTATTATTAAAACTTACTCCCTCCGTCCTATAATGTTCTTCCAGGTTCATTTTACGAGGTTTGATCGACTTTATTTTCAATTCAATTTATTTGATTATAGGTGTAAAATTAAAAAATAAAATTTATATATTTAAAAACTACATCAAAAGTTTTACAAAACAAGTGGTGACAAGATTATACTCCCTCCGTCCCAAAAAGATCGTTACGTTTCATTTCTTTGCGCATCACAAAAAGCAATGCTACTCACATCTAAAATTTCTAAAATTTACCATATTTACTTTTTATTATAAGATGAAATTGTTTTGAAAGTTTTTTTTGGCATTTGAGACGATATAAAAATATTTTAAGGGATGCGCAAAGAAATGAAACGTAACGATCTTTTTGGGACGGAGGGAGTATTATTTTATCAAATACATAACGAAAATAGGTAAAGAAATTGATTAAAGTTTGACCGGGTAAAAAGTCAGTGGGAAGAACATTTTAGGACGGATGGAGAATATATTTACTTTTACTAATATTAAAAGTTCAATAGATAAAAGATTGCATGACAATCTTATTTTGTTGAATAATCAATCGTCAGTACTCTGTTTTTGTTGAATAATCAATTGTCAATACTCTGTATATAGAACTGAAATACAAATATATTACAAAAGAAAAAACTTCATCTGTATGTCCATCAATAAATTTCTCTGTTGTTTTGTGGATCTTTCGATGTGGTTTTGAACGTTATTGCATTTTGTATTTTTTTTATGATGTACCCAATTGTAAATAAAGTAATTTTAAAAAAGATGAAAATTTGTAAGTTGTTCGAAATAGAAAGTTTATTATTAGACAAAAGAAGTGTAATCTAAATATATGTGGTCGAATCAATTGTGGGTATGTCACTTCCGGTCGAAATTGGCCAATCATAATGAGAAACTAAACATAATGATTTTTGTGCATCAAGGTGTACAGACTCTAAAGAATCTCAGAGATAAACTTAGAAAAATTCTTGAATGTAAATCATAAATTGATGAAGTATTGTTTTCTCACTCTCCAGATTTAATTGTCGCACTTTTCTTTTCTGTTTTTCAAAGAAAACTTCGTATCTCAGTTGACCGTTCAAGAAAATACGGAGTACATAACATAAATTGCAACCATAGGTTTTTTACTTTTTACTTCCTCCGTCCCAAAATGTTTGCCACATTTCCTTTTTTAACCATAACAAGAACTTTTGTTTATTTATATGTTTTCATTGATTATTTGATAAAATAAACTATTCTTTATACCTTTTGTTCTGTAAAAATTTTCATGTAGTTTTTTTTAAATATGTAAATTCTATTTTTCATTTATATATACTACGGAGTAATATTTAAATAAAATAAATTGAAAAAATTTAATATTTTAATTCGTTTTTCAAATGTATTAAATATTTAGATACATAAAGAGTATCAGTTTTACCAAAGAGAGGGGATATGAGATCATTTATGAATGCGATGGCAGATGTGGTGAAAGGGACTGAATCTGAATAGATTTGGCGGAATTCATGCATCATCTTTTATTTTATTCTAAAATATGACTGGGAAAGTAAAATGGGGAGGGAGAAGGTGAGACCTAGAGGAACAGATGATGACGACGATGAAGAATATATATACATATATATGTTCCTGCCCCTCACATCTCCTTCAATTAATTTATGGAGTACTTTTTTATTAATCATTTGATAAAATAAAACATTTTTGTCACTATTCATTTTATACTTAAACTTTTGGTGTAATTTTTAAATATGTAAATTATACTTTCTTTCTGTGCCGTACCATTTTATAAATAAAAATATTCCAAAATAGATAAAATTTTACACATTATTCAAAGCATGAAAAGTTTTTTGGGCGGGAAGGGGCCAGAGTACATGTCATGATTCAAAAAATGTTATGCAACAAATACTTTTCATAGGAAGATATAAAAATATATTTACCCCAGCCAACTGAGCCAAGTGTGGATCATGGATTTATGATAGAAAGAACAAAGCAGTGGACTAAAAACATTACAGGCACACTCATTGAATTTTATGTTACAAGCACCCACAAGATGGACCATGCTAGAGGAACACCAAATTCCGACATCAATGATGACGTTTCACAAACATACACAGACAATCATTGTATGTAGTCATTGCCTGTGCATGTCTGTGAGATATAATGGTGTCATCAATGTGGTGTTAAAAACCCTAGTGTTGAAATAGCGTTTTTACCGCAGAAAATAGCTGGCTCACATCCTCTTGCTACTGGCCCAAGACGACGGTTTGAATCCACCAACCAGTAATCTGGATGCACCAGCGGCGTTTATCTTCCTCCTCTTTGCTTCCAGTTCCGATTTCTTGGAGGAGTCGAAAAATATGGAGGAGGCGTTGATCAATGCTCTTTTGTCATTCCTGTTCCTCTCAAATTTGAGCGCGAATTTGATGCGGGAAGCGGTTGCAGCATCCTCTTCAGTTGCCGGAAGCAGTCTGAAACCAAGTCCTGCTTTCCGGGCAGCAGCCTCTTCATCTGCAACTCGTTTCTTCTGGCCCTGTGTTCATATCTTTCAAAGATTATAACATAGAAATGAAGGGATTAAGGGGGCGTTTGGTTCACGTTCACCTAATGAGAGGTTATATTGGGCTACTTGCATTTCATTCCTAAATGTGAAGCTCCATGAGGTTACATTGGGATCCATGGCCAAAATCGGACTAGTCTAAAATATTACTTCCTCTGTCCTGATTTAGCTTGTCCACTTTCAAATAAACAAAACAAAATGAGCTTCAAATGAGCTGATCATTCATTAACGTGAACAACATGCTCATTCTCTTATCTCTTGGATATTTTAGACAATTCATCATACTTTTTTTTTTAATATGGAAAATGAAAAACTAGTTCCAAACAAACAAGAAGCTAAATTTGGACGAAGGGAGTATACAGTAATCTTATTAGACTAGAGTACCTTAAAACCCAGAGCAAATTACCCCTAACATCAACTATTTTCACCCTTGGCGGTAGGCAATACGAAGTATTAAATTACACTAATTATCTAACCTTGCATATCTTTCTCACACTGCCGAGGTAATTTGGGATTACCTGACCGAAACGCTCCCTAAGGACAAAGGGTAATGAGAAAAATCCAAGAGTGAAGAATTGAGCACACTATACCCTTAGCCTGGCTCGGAGGGCCTTGTTTAAGGAATAATCATCAGAGTGCCGTGCATCTGATACTCTTTGAAGACGGACAAGTAAAGGCTCAGCTTCTTTCTTCTTCTTTAAATCTTCCTCCTGGTGCTCAAGACGGTAGAAGGGATCTGCTAACTTACTACGATCTGTGTTGAAATCAACAGAAAGTAAGAAATAAAAAATGAATTACGTATTTATGTCAATGCAAAATTCACACACGCATACTATGTTACTCCACATATAAATGAACCCAAAGCACAATAATAATGATATTTGACTCATTAAAGATTTAAGAGCTTATTGGTTCTTGATAACTATGGGTGTTTGTAAATTTTTGCTTAGTCAGTTCAGGTTTGAAAAATCCAGTCGATTTTGGTATGTTTAATAAGTTTTCAAAGCCTAAACCTGCATTATTTCCAATTCAGAGGAAGTGTGGGAAAAACTAACACTCTACCCACAATAGACATTTCTTACCATCTTCAACAGGGAGTACCATGGTTTCTGCATCTTCAGCTTCATACTCTTCGATCTTCCGCCGTGCCCCAGAAATAATCACATACTCACAGTTCTTTGGATCTGTTTGGATGACAATTTCATGTCTGCAGCATGCAGACTTCATGGAAAAACTCCATATCTAACAGAAGGAGAAAATATGTAATTACCATAAGCAGCTCAAGTCGATGAAGCCACACTATTCAGGATTAGCAACCTGCAACTTACTTTTGTAGAATAGTAGTTTCCCACTTGCTTTTTCTCAGCATTAAACCGTACACCTTTTGCAATCATAGATTCACACCCACCACACCAGATGTTGAACGGCATTTCGAATCTGAGAGAATAGATCAAATGAAGAAATCAAAACAACAAATTAAAGGACATCATTAGATAAACCAATTTGTACTATGTCCAAAAAATATTACTCCCCCGGCCAAACTTGATCCAAAAAATACAACTTTTGTGTAATTTTTCATAAAAGGTACATAAAAGATAGTTAATGTAAGATACACACACGAACTAACTAACTAACTAACTATATGTATGTTTATGGTTCAAGATTTACGGCATGTGCACACTTGGACCTTACCAAATTTTCAAAATTATACATTGACAAAACAGGACTCTTTTTTTAAGGACACAGTATTGCATTAAAAGATGATAAGATGCAGTACCTTATAATAAGGATGCCTTGATCTATCTTTCTTGCTCTCTCTCTGAGAGCATGTTGACCGTTGAATTTGTTCAATGAACCCTGATAAGAAAAATAATGATAATGTAAGTACCAACACATTTACATAATCAAACTCAGGCACTACTTAACATACAGTCACAGAACAGATATGTGCCAACTTACTTTCTTGGGTGTCCATTCTGGAGGGTAGTAGAAATTATCTGCTCTAGCAGCTGCAAGGGAAGACTGCAAAACACAAATTTAAAAACACTTTAGCTTAGTGGGATTTGAATATTTGAAGATGAAAATAGAATGACCAAAATTTAAAAGGTTCATAGCATGAAACTTTTTGAGGCAAGGTTTCAACCATGCACTATACTCCGAATTTGCTATGTCATCAGCTCTTGTAACCAAAACAGAAAATAGAAAAAGAAACTTATTTTTTTGTGCTTTTTACACCAACACTCAATTTTCCATCCCCAATCATTACCCAGACACTTGATTATCGATAAATCATTGGGGACGGGGTCCACTAAACATCTGAGCTAGAGTAGGTCACATAGCTTTGAAAGGCGAAAGGCAAGAGGCGGGTGAGGAGCCTTTTTCAGGCGAGAAGCGGGCGGCCAGAAAGGCGAACTTGGGACATACAGACGTACATAAAATATATAGTGCAGTGCAACTAATCCAAATAAATTAGAAACAAGTACTGAGAAAACATAAAGAATATGCACCACAGAACTAGGCTAAACCTGTGAAGCATAAGAAGATGATAAAAAAAGTAGGCAGCAAAAGAACTGCAAAATGAAACAGAGAGGAGAGAGAGCAGACGAGAGATACCAGAGAGAGAGAGAGAGGAGAGTAGGAGACGAGACCAAAGAGAGGGAGGAGACAAGACCAGAGAAAGAGGAGACGAGAGTTGAGTTACCGATGAGACCAGAGGAGATGAGGTAGAGTTGTGTAGATTGACTGGATTCTGGTAGGTATAGTCGCGCTAGGGTGTATATGAGTCAGCGTTTAAGATCCCAGCCCATTCCTAAAAAATGTCAGTCCATTTTTTTAAAGGCCCATAGCCGAACTACACTAAGGTGAGAAAAGAGAATGCCTGAGGTGAGCGAAGCAAGCGACTTAGAGTTGCCGATGAGACCAAAGGAGACGAGGTAGAGTTGTGTAGATTGACTGGATTCTGGTAGGTGTAGTCGCGCTAGGGTGTAAATGAGTCAGCGTTTAAGATGCCAGCCCATTCCTAAAAAAATGTCAGTTCATTTTTTTAAAGGCCCATAGCCGAACTACAGTAAGGTGAGAAAAGAGAATGCCTGAGGCAAGCGAAGCAAGCGACTTAGAGTTGCCGATGAGACCAGAGGAGACGAGGTAGAGTTGTGTAGATTGACTGGATTCTGGTAGGTGTAGTCGCGCTAGGGTGTAAATGAGTCAGCGTTTAAGATGCCAGCCCTTTCCTAAAAAAATGCCAGTCCATTTTTTTAAAGGCCCATAGCCGAACTACAGTAAGGCGAGAAAAGAGAATGCCTGAGGCGAGCGAAGCAAGCGACTTAGGCGTGAAAGGCGGAGAACGCCTTGCCTCAGGCGGTAGGTCACCCGGACGCCTGAGGCGCCTGGCGAGGGAGGCAATCCCCTTTAAAAACTATGGTAGGTCAGAAGGCCTCTCCTTGGTCGTGATCACCACAATTGGATGGGTAGAATCGATTAACATAAATTATACCCGGAGTAACAAATTATGCTCTGGGTACCCCAATTTTGACAACACACATTCAAACACAGTGCTGTCTCTAACAAAAGGTGGCGACAAAATTGGTGTTAAAATAGGGATACCTTTATCATTTTTCACTTATAACATAGAAACCTACGTGGCATAGTGAATAAGATCTACGGAGGGGTTCCCTTAACATTGGAACCCCAAGTCATCCTATGAAATTGGCCTCAATTGGGGCCACACGGCGTCCCATGTGTAAAATTGACGGTTCCTACTTCCTACTCCCTAACCTTCCGATAAACCCCTCACCCTGGCCCTGAACCCACCCCTACCCCCTTCAATTGCACCCTCCAAATTTAGTAGACTTTAGAGTCAAATATTTTATTCCAAATTCAACTAAACTAGGGGGTGCAATAGAAAGGGGTGGTGGGTTCGGGTCGGGACAAAGTGGGGTCTATTGGAAAGGTTAGGGGTAGGAACTGACCGTCCCAATTGGAGCCCATGTCATAGCATAGGATGACATTGATTATCAATGCCATCCGAACCGTGCCCTAATATCTAAAAGGACCATCTTTTCACTCCTATATTCGAATTAAATTTCAATAACAATTAAAGGTCAAATTCTATTCAGAACAAAAAAACATAAAAAATTCAAAATTCATCATAAAATAATTCAACTCAGTAATTGCAAACACAACAATCAATTATCGAACAATAACTCAGTTGGATTAGTTATTAAGAAACCATAGTCATGAAGAAGAAAGCGATCAAAAAGGCAAAAATTGAAAAAACAGGTCAGAACAAATTACAAAGAAATTAACAAGGTAATCCGTACCATTTTCCAGTCTCAGGTTCTTCGCAGATTCGGCGGATCGATTGATAGAAAACTTGAAATCTTCAGTATTTTTTCCGGGAGAACCTGGAGAAGGAATAATACGGAGTAAAATCGGATCTAGAATTGTGGTTCCACGATGAATGTTTAACCGACGTCGTATCCTTGTGGTCGCGCATGGGCCTCTTCGGTTTGCTGTTGAAACTTGAAAATGGAATCCGAGTTGTCTATTTGGGCTTCATTTAAAAATTGACTCATCTTACTTTGGGCTTTTTATAACGAAACCGATCTTCATTATTCATATCTTCCAAAAGCATAACATTTCCACATGCTAATCAGATCTTACACCATTATTCTCAAAATTGTTCTTTTTTACAAAAACACATCACCCACCACCTTACTTACACAATAAAATTGTGTAATATCTAAATAGATTTTTAAAGTGGTGATTTGATAAAAAAAAATCCCTTCTTTACTTTTCATACTCCAATAAAAAATACTACCTTCGTCCCGCTATATTCGTCCACTTTTGACTTTTGGAACTGTTCATCTAAGCACTTTGACTCATCACATTCTCTCAATGTGTAAGCCTAAATATAGTCATGTGTGATCTTGTTTGATTTGTCTTAACATATAGATTATTAATATATAATTTCTATAATTTTTTAATATACAAATTACAATATAAAATGGATTAAAGAAGTGTATTGGATGGTGTGCAAAAATGAAAGTGGACAAATACTCTGGGACGGAGGGAGTAAATTACATATTCTTCCTCCAACTCTAATATCAATCACGTTAAGGAGTTGGAAAAAGTCAGAAGTTAAAAAAAGTTGAAAGTTAACTTTTCTAACCTAAAAGAACAAATACTTAAAGTAGGAGATTGATATTTGAGTTGGAGGATGAATAAGTAATTTTTTTGTATTAAAACTAAAAAATGATTTGTTTTCCAACTCATCATTTTAAAAATTAATGTAGATATTATACAATATGATTGTGCAAGTGAGGTGGCGGGTGGAGTCTTTTTATAAAAATAGAGCAATTTGTGAGAGTAATGGTATAATTAATTGATTTTTAGAGCATTCTTGTAAAATCGGAGACTTTCCAAGTATTGCGGTAAAGTTTTCTAATAAAAGTTACAAAATTCACAAAACTAGTTTGTAACTTAGAACATTATTTCCTTGCAGAATTTTATCATAAACATTATGAATATTTTATTTTTTAAACATTTTGTGTGTGTTATATGCTTCATTTTTTTTTTGTTTTTTTGAGTGTTAAAGTATATATTACAACAGAACTTGAAAAGAAAATAAATAAGTATATAAACTCTTCAGTTGAACTAAGTTGTACTACGTAATAGATTAAATTCAATTTTTTAATGTGATTCAATTCAAGTGTCTTATTACTCAATCTGTACCACATCATAAATTCTATCAAAATTGAATGTTCTAAATATGGTGTTGATATGTACATGCTACTTGTGCAATATTTTTTTAGGGTGGCATTGTTTGATTGGTTAGATTCATGTCATTGATTTTAAATTCATTTGTATTAAAAAAATTTATAACAAAAAACATTAATTTAATAGATATAATAATAAATTAAATATATTGATATCCTTTTGATATTCTTCAAGTTTTGTTTAGGTTTTCGTATTCCTTTGATTATTTTTTAATGGATATATTGATAACTTAATGTAAAATTTTCATTCTGATTCGTATTGGATTCATATTCAAGAAATTTTTTTTCTTTGTCTATTAAAAAAAAGTGCAATAGAATTATTTTTGCAAGAAAGTAAATAAAATTTCTTGAAATATAATTCCTTCACATTCCATTGCTTGATTTTAAAGCATCATTAATTATTAACAAATGGGTACGTACCGCCCTCCCCATGCCTTCCCTCACAATCATAATAAATTAGCTACACCACATTAACCACTTCACAAGTCTCCCATGTGTAAGCAAAACCCCAATCTTTTCACACTACCCTTTTGGTCTTTACAGCCATTAATTAATTACCTTCAAGCTCTCAACCTTCTTCAAACTCCATCAATATAATCTCCCATGTTTAAATGACAAAAACAAGCTGAAAAAAATTATATCCATTCCATTATTGTCCCTAGCTATCTATAGTGCATGCAAATATTATATTTTTCTTTGATCCATGCATGTTGAGGTCAATTTCTACCCATTATTATTATGTCCTTAAAGGTTGTGTTCTTCATCTTTTGGCTCTCTCTTCTCCTCCTCTTCTTCCATGAAATCTATAGTGATCCCAAGCTCATCAAAACCAACAACAATAGTATTATCAGGATCGCATTTTCTTCACCCGCGTTTCCTCGTCGTCTTCATCATGATCACCACTCAAGTCGCGACCATAGGAAAATGTTATCAGGTCAGTTTGACTTTACCCCATTTGTAAACCACCGTCACGAGAAGCAGTATTCGTCGGATGAGCATGGAAACAAGATGGACCCGCGCTACGGCGTTCAGAAACGCCTCGTCCCCAGCGGTCCAAATGCCTTGCACAATTAGAGGGCGCCGCGCAAGAGCATCAAGCTAATTAGTGACCAAGAATTGATCGAAGAAGATGGTCTGATCTACATGTGATGGAAATGGTTAGTGGGAGCTAATGAGCTAATTAAGATTCATCATCATCAATATCATACTAGCAATAGCAAATATTATGATTCGTTAATAGTTTCATTTTCTCTTGATTTTTATGCTTTGTGAATTCGTGATTATAAGATATGCTGAGTGTTATATTGTTTAATTTCTGTGTATATTATTCTTGAAGAAAAAATTTGGTATGTCCTTTGATCATTGAGCGATCTAATCATCTAAGTTCCATAATTAATGAAAACATTATTAGTTGTATATATTTACGCCCCGTGTATGATTTAAGTTTTAGTGCGATCCTTTCGTTCGGACATATCATTTTTAATTTATATTATTTTTTAATGGTACAAATTAATTTTGAAGACAATATAATTAAATGTTGTCATTTGATAGCTAGCATCTTCAAAACACTAATCCTAAATGCGAAAGTTGTTACCAATCTGGCACCGAGATAATTATTTCTAATGGTGCAAATTACAATACCATTTTTGGGTGTGTTAAAATTCAATTTATTTTTACTCTTAAAAAAAGCTTTCTAAACTTGAAGCTATTTGTTGATTAAAGAAGACATTTATGGTCAAATTAAATTAAACTTGAAGAAAAAAGGTTACTCCCTATATAATTTTGGAGTCAGTCTATATAATTCATGCGGTGGCTATAATTATTTCTTGAGTTTATTTTGCATGATAAGGATAGTATTTGTTTGATGAGGGGTTTGTGCATATTTTGGCATCAAATTAAATGAGCAAGTTAGTTGGAGGGACTGCCTATATATAAATGAGGGGTTGCTGTCAAAGCCATATTGTTAATTACCCTTGAATAGATATAGGAAATGGAAAATGACCCAATTCTTTCCTACCCCCTTCAATCGTAGCGCCTATTTGGGAGGAATGATGAAAGGCAGGCGCTAAGGGAAATGAATTGGATGCGATAATAACAATAACCTAGTTGAATTTCATGCACCGTACCAATTGGGAATTGAATCAAATATTTTCACCATTATTATTCGTATACAGATATTTTGAGAGATATTCGTATTCATATTTAATTGGTTTGAATTTTTTAAAATATTCTTATTCAATACAATTAAGACTTCATAAAAGCTTGGTTCATTTGAAAGTATTCCAATTTGAAATATTTGTTTTGAATGTTTTTTTTAAAACAAATATAGCAATATAAGATTTGAGCAATACAATTAAGGGAATTGAAACCATTATATTTTAGAGGCAATGATAGATAAATTAGATTGAGTTTTGCCAGATCCATCTCTACTCTAATACTGACCATTACCAACGTTGTTATTCCTTGGGCAATCCTAGAGACACATCACATTCAAGGATGTGAGGGAGAAGTATTATGACTTCTCTTCGTCTTATCTAAATTGATTCTCATCTAAATCTTTCTCTTTTGATGAACTGATTTTAATTAAAATTGTACTCTGAATATGTTTATGATATAGTCTGAATATTTATTATTTTTATCTCATTTGATTTTAATAAAATACTCTAAGTAATACAGAGTATTTCCTACAAAATAGGTAAATCCAAATATAATAAGTTAAATTTGTACAAAATAGCATTGAGACATATGTTATTTTCCAATATAGTAGTTAATCTTTTTTATTCCCTAAATAGTATTTGAATAATATTTACTGACAAAAACAATATTCAGTGATGTTGGACATTTAGTTTGAATAATGTCTAGTGGTGATAGACATTTATTTGAACAATGGTAATACAGTAAATAAAAACATATCATATTACATTTGAAAAATCACCATGTTAGATCTTAATATTATTTAGATATTTTAATATTATTTAGGTAAATTTCTCAAATATTTAATTGAAAAGTTTAATCAAAGACCAATTATCATCATGATCGTGGTGCAATTTTAATTCAAGACAGGGATCCCATTTCCAGACTTCGAAACCAAATCAATGGCTTCCTCTACTTTTTCTTCATTTCCCCAGCTTCCACAGACACCATGTCTACTCTCTTCTTCCTTATTCCCAAAATTCAACTTTCTCCCTCCATTACTGAATCAATCAAGGCGACGGTTGAGGAGGGAAGGCGCTCTAGCTCTGGCCATGGCAGCTCCCGCCAGTCCTGCCGATACTAACAGTACACCTGATAAGCCCCCGAGAGTGGTCACCTTCGTCGGGAAAGGCGGTTCTGGTAAAACCACTTCTGCTGTTTTCGCTGCTCAGGTATCTATTCTACGCCCTAGATTCTCGATTCGACCTTGAATTTCCCATTCCTTCATGATAACTGTTCGTTGCTTTCTCTGCGAAGATGAATGGCGATAAAGTTCGTATCTTTTGTAAATTTCTGAACAAAATGTTGAAAAGGTGAAAATGGAAATAGAAAACAAAAACAATTCTAAATGGCACTCCCGAGTTCAGACAATCAGCATGATTTCCTTTTGATGATATGTGTCTTACCGCAATTAGTTCTTTGGTATTCAGCACTATGCTATGGCAGGACTGAAGACCTTCTTGGTTATAAATTCCCAAGACCCCACCGCTGAATACCTTCTGAATTGTAAGATTGGCTCATCTCCTATTCGATGCAATGACAACCTTTCAGTTGTGAGATTGGAAACTACAAGAGTGTGTTCTTTATCCAATACTCCAATTTACCTTTTCACTCAGTAGTACTCCGTATAATCTTCTTTTTCACTAAGAAAACGATCACCCAAAATTTCAGATGCTTCTTAAACCTCTCAACAGACTAAAGGAAGCAGATGATCGTCTTAACATGACACAAGGAGTTCTTGAAGAGGTTGGTATGTATGTAACATTTATTTCTTCATCCAATTCTTATTGTTAAGAGTCCCACAATGAAATATTCTAGAGACACATGTTTATAAGGCATCAGGCTAGACTATGTAATAAATTGGATTTAATTTCAGTGTGATTTGACTAATGTGTATTCCTATTATCATTTCTCATCTTAGAAAGTAATCGCCCCTTGTCTTTGATCTCTTTCTTTGTAAATGTAGTAGGTGATGGGACAGGAACTTGGCGTGCTACCTGGGATGGATTCCATATTTTCAGTTTTGGAACTTGAGAGGCTAGTAGGGTTCTTTGGAAATGTCAATCAAAAAGAGAAGTTTGACATTATAATTTATGATGGTGTGAGCACCGAAGAAACCATTCGAATTATAGGTGCAACTAGCAAGGCAAGGTCAGAACTTCTTATTCCTTATTATCAATGCATCACTTTAAAACAGCAATGAGTTCAAGAGCCTATTTGGTAAAGGCAAGGTAAAATTGTGGCTTATATGAGTTGTCTAGGAAAATATTAAATATTTGTACGGAGTAAATGCGAGTAATAAATTTAAAAAAAAAGTTCAAAAAATTAGCATACTTTGCCAATGGAGCTAAAGACAATGTCTTAAGTTTGGTTATATAATGGAATTAATAAAATGGTAAATCAAACTTTTCTGGCTTCTTACTTTCTAAGACATTTTGGGCAGTAAATGCATCAATCTTGGGGAGTCTAAGGGAAATAGCATCTCTACTTTGTTGTTGTGTAATATCCAAAATTTCAACAATAGGTCCTCTCATCTGAACCAAAAATGTAACTTTTGCACGAATTCTTATTACAGTATTATCAACTGATTCATGAAGCACTATCAGATAAGTTAATGTTTTGTCGAAGACCTTCTGATAAGCACAAAGTGTTTTGCTAAAAAGCACTAAGTTTAATGGTAATCCATCTTAACCCACAGACTCTACTTGAAATATCTGCGCAAGTTAGCAGAAAAGACAGATTTTGGAAGGTTGGCGGGGCCATCACTCTTGAGACTTGTGGATGAAGCTATGTATTTAAGTGGCAGAAATTCTAATCTGAATGGGAAAATGAGTTCAGAGATATGGAACCATCTGGAACAAACATTGGAGGTAATTTGTTTCCTATTTTTGTTCATAGATCTGTGATATCTTTCGGGTTCCATACTCTAAACAGTATTTTTCGTGAGAGTGACATATAAACTTCCAAACAAGGTTTCTCCACTTACTCTGTTTACTCTTACTTCTGCTTATTGACTCTTATTTTTCAAACTTATTCTCTATTTAGACGGAGCCTTAACGGTGTTGACACTCTAACCAATTGTTTTATGATGCAGAGAGCATCTTCCATTATTGCAGAACCCGATCAGTTTGGCTGTTATGTAGTGGTGGACCCAAAATGTCCTGTTTCATTGGCTTCCGGATTACGCTATTGGGGCTGTGTTATCCAAGCTGGGGCGCATGTCTCGGGCGCATTAACGTTTGCCTCATCAAATGAATTAAGGGAAAAAGTTCGCAAGAGCTTCTCACCTTTGCCTTACACTTCCATTCCACATCTCTCATCTGGGTCCCGCATAGAATGGGATCATATAATGCGGAACACTGGTAGTGCAGATGCACGGAAGTTCCTGAGCACGAGGAACAGCACAAAGATTGATCATACTAAGTTTGATTTGGCAAATAAAACCGTAACGCTTCTCATGCCCGGGTTTGACAAATCAGAAATCAACCTATACCAAGTATGGCATAAATTTGAAGATTATATATTGATTTCTTTTTCCCATTATCATCATCATTCTGAAGAAGAAAACATCAAAGCTAAGATTGTGAGCCTTTTTGCTTGACTTCATTTTCAGCTTTTCAGCCAGTTTTTTTTAACACATGGCAAGTTATTTACTCATATTTCATTGTGCTGGCTGAATTGGTTGGAAATGGAAAAAGTTATGTTTTCCTGAATAAATACATGTCCAAAACAGATAGTTCTGCCTTAATTTTAGATTTTTTTTGTCTAATTTATTTTATTATACATTTTTAAACAGCCCTATATGATGATATTAATCTTGTAATGTATTGTCAATGTAGTTTAGAGGAGGATCTGAGTTGCTGGTGGAGGCAGGCGATCAAAGACGCGCCATTTTTCTGCCATCTAAGCTTCAAGGCAAGGTTGGAGCTGCCAAGTTTACTGAAAGAAGTCTTGTTATAACCATGGATTCATGAAGATGATAAAGAACATTATGCTCTCTTCTTTTTTTCTTTGATTTTTTGTCCTTTTTTCTTAGAGAGAGAATTCCATTGCCATCCATGTCCACACAGTCCATCAAGTGAGACTGAAAGTGTTTCTTGTATTGAAAAATTCATAACCCTTTGTATGAAAATGTACAATACGTTTGTGTGTATTTCATCTAAGGATAAATCTCATCCCTATACCTCTCCAGGATTGGTCGGACAATTATCTGAAAAGAGATCAATTAAGCTATAATATTAGCCTTACAAATAAGGAATTTCTCTGGTACGCTTGGGGGCTTCTATGCTATGCATAGCCCCTCTTCATTGTCGTTGTCTAGAGTTGAATTCGTGTATTGTCTTCTTTGACACATTTTCTTTGTCATCTAAGTTACACAAACCTTTTCTTTAAAGCAAATAGAGTATAAAATACAACATGATGAGTTTTGTTTCCTATACTTGGAGTAACGAAATTATGAAATTATACTGTACAAATTCCTTTGGGGGTAAAAATGTGAAAACAAAAGTTCAATCTTCTTGCTAAACGTCTCTGGTTTGTGTGTGCACGCAACTCCTAAGCTCTTCAAACGCCCTCATGCTCTCGGCATCAAACCCTCCAGCAAACTGTAAGAATATAAATTATCACTATGTTACACCTAATGCCTATACAGAAGGGATAACTGCACAATTAAGGCCATGTTTGGTGAAGAACCAATAGAAAAGTTCTTAGCTTTCTGAGTCTCAATCAGCTGTTTGGCCATGTCAAATATCCTTTTTGTGGAAAAGTTTTTAGCTATTGGATTACTATGCAATTTTACACATTCAATTTCTATTACCTGATGCACACGGAAAGCAAAGCGAACGCCTTGTAGGATTAAAAACTCTCTGGGTGGTTCCTTATCACGCCCGCTCAACGCATCCAGTGTTAATGCTACACGTTTCATGTACGCACGAGCCAGCTGGACAGACGAGAGCTTAATCTGCAGAGGGAGAAATATGCATTCATTATCTCTGTTTTTGAGTCGGGGTTCTTTTAGAAACAGCCTCCCTACTTTTGTGGGATTTTACTATATTTGTTGTTGCAGTTGACCAATAAAAGTGGAATGACCGAAACGGAAAAAATTGTGTGGTTTAAGTGCATGAGTACCTTTCCAAGCACACCAGAATCTAGCAACCAATCTGTGGGTATTCCAAAGTCTCTGTATCGTGATATAGTCATGTCCCTCGCGTGCAATAGTTCATAAACACATTGCTCCACCCTGAGAGTTTCAATAAGGAGTACAGGTTTTCAACATTGAGCATAGAATTAATTAAACATAAAGAAGGCATCTTTGATGTTGTTCACACTAAAAAGATTTCAGATATGAACACTCACTTCTCAAGTAGTTCATACATCTTTTTCATTGCAGCATCCCAAGAAAGACTTGGATTGTCAACAAACGAGGAAACTTGATTCTCAAGTTTCATTAATTCCTGGTACTCGAATGCCGCTTCTCGCAATGCATCTGATTTACCTTCTGGCCAATCAAAATGCTTGAGAACAGCTCGTTCATCAGCCTTGCAAATAAAATTACTAAATGCCATCAGGTAACAAGTCAAAAAGTACAGCAGTTATAATGTCATATTCATGGTTATGAAGTATAGATAGGACCAAAAGGAAAATAAGTCTACTATGGTCAATCTGTAAATGAAGAAATAAAGGTAAAAGAAGGAATGAAAAAAAAGAAGAGAAAAACATAGTGGTAGATTAGGGGAAACTTTGTTTTTGTCCATGTAATGTCCACAAAGCAGCTAAAGCTCCAGAAGACATACCAAGGAGGAGAGCTCTTCATCTAGCTAATTAACAAATGTCACCAAATCATCTGCTTTGGAAAACAAAGATGTACGAACTTCAGCTGCTAGTGACCGGACGAAATCAGCTTTTGTTCCCACATCAGACTTCACCTGATGACCAATACAAACCTTCTTTTGCTTAGAGTTGGATATAACAACAACAACAAATAATAAACAATAAACAAACTCAGTAGAATCCCGCAGTAGTATGGTCTAGAGAGAGTCCAAGAGAAAGACTGTTTCCAAGAGACCCCCGGTTCAAGAAAGCATAAATAGAGTAAAGTCAAGTAAAACAAAGTAGAGGAAACACAGTAGCACGAACAAGGTGGGAGCACAGACCCAGGAAGTACGCAAACTGATACCAGCAACTAGACCCAATGCAGAGTTGGATAGAATAAAAATCACATATAATTTGGTCAAGTACAAAGTCCTACATACCGCTAAACGAAAGGATGATCCGTTTTCCATTTTTCCATTCATGTTGCTCCTTGCATTGACATGCTGGATGTGGAAGAAACCAAGGGTGGCGATGAATCCTTTTTCCACTCGCGTTTAATCAAATTTTGGTAAAACTCAGCTAACTCAGGGGCTCTATAGACTTTATCTTTGCTTCTTCCCCATTTCTTCAACTTCTGAATCAAGCTAGGCTTTTTACTAGTTGAACTATCAATAGAGGTACTAGTGGTGGTAGCAGTAGCAGTAGTAGTATCAAAATCTTCACTTCCAGGAGAAGACGGGAATGAAAAGTTAGTTTCGTAATCTAATAACATCTGCTTGGCTCTCTCCTGAGAATTTGGACTCAAACTTTTGTTAAGGTCACAAGCTGATATTTTGCCAGTGGGTGTTTGATAGTTCCAAAGTTCATACTGTAAGCATGCATTCAACCAACGAAGATACACTAATTCTTCAACTTCATTGAATCTGTTCATCTGCAGTCCTTCAACTTGTTTGTGAAGATCCTCATTTTTATGCCTCAATGCTGCTACCTCCTCCCTAATGCTAGAAACCACTTCACCCTGCAACTTGAAGAAACCTCAGGAGTTAGTTTGACTGCAAAGAGGAAAGAACTATTGCTTACCTAAAATTTTTAAAAACAAAATAATTAGTTGAATAATACTTCAGTAATGAGTTTGGTTGTTTTATACATCACAAAGGGCAGTGGAAGAAAAGTGCAAACAAATTAGTACTATATTGCCCACTTCATCGTAATTACACATATATAAAAAAGTTAAATGACAAATATGAAATTGATCTCAACTTATCTTTTCTTGCCCAAATTACCCATGTTTATAAACTTTAAAGAATTACTCATTATAATATATTAGTCTAATAAAATTTCCAAAATACTTGTTTTGGTCTTTCCCATGGTGCTAGTCGTGTTTCTTTATTGGGTGTGCATTTAATTTGACATTTTCATGTTTACCCCTACATCCATACACAACCATCCATAGATAAATCAAATACTACTCCTAATGAGTTTCGAGTCCTACATACGAAATTGTAAATGTAATAAGGGAACTGCACACAAAAGGAACATAAAAACTTCATTCAAAGAAAAAACTATTACCTCTTTCATGTTGGGGAGGGATTTCATTTTGGCTTCAGCAGCATCTAGCTTCATCGCCATTTCTCTCTTCTCAATTTGAAGCTCTTTGTTCTTCCTCTTAAGCTCCATAACTTCCACCTCCAACTCCTTTAGAACTTTAACCATCTTCTCCATCTCAGCACCCCCTTTCAAGGCTTCTCGTTCCTCTACTTGAAGTACACTAACTTGCTGCTTAAGCAACAATAATTGTTCTTTTGTTCTGTTTGCCTCAACCTGAATCTGCTTCTGTATCTCCTTTATTTTGTTCCTTGCCTCCTCTAACTCTTTTTTAGCAAAAGAGGACTTAGAAACCTCCTCTTAAAGCCTTTTCTTCTCATCCTGCAATCTGTCTATGGTAATATTGAGCACGTCAATCTCCACTGCCTTAACTTTGAGCTGTTTTTGTAACTCAAGAATGTTCGATTCTTGCTCCTTCAACCCATAATATTCCAACAGTTCTGCTTTAAGCTTCACTTCTCTCTCCTCAAGCTCTTTGACAAGGTTTCTTAACTGTTCTATCTCATTTTGATCTTTCTTTGCATTCTCTGCATCATAAATATTACCGGGCAATGGAAAGTCCATCTTCGAATTAAAGTAAAAGGTCTTCTTTATTCAGTGGTTTCCTCAATGGGAGATTGCAAATCCCGTTTATTAGTTTAACCTCTTCTTTCTCTGCACCCTACAAAACATAAAGCATACATGGCAATGAATTTCTGGAGTACTTTGATTTTACCAAGTGTGATTTTTGCTGAAAACATTTGTTTCATACAAAGTAAATTGAGAGGGCATTTAATGCTAAAATTACAAATTAGCGATGCATCTCATTTTCGAATTAAAGTAATCAATTGTGGGCATTAATTAACAGTAGTTTAGGCAACAGAAATAGACCCAGAAAAATCTCACAAGTAAGGTATTGGGAGGATGTGTGTATGCAGACCTAACTCTTACTGAAAATGGAGAGGTTGGCAAACTACTACAGCATTTCTAAGTAGAGGTAGAGTCTAAGCACATCTCCTTCCCTCATACCCTACTCTTGAGTAAGATTTACAAGGTTTGTTTGGTTTGGTAAACCACTGCCATATGCGATGAGTTTCTTGATCTATGAACTTAATCCTTAAACAACACTAATATAATACGAAGTACATGAAAATACATCGGAAAGGGGAAAAACAAGATTATTCACAACTTAGGTGATCAACAAAGAATCATGTCTAATTTTTTTTAACTGAGTGGCACTTAAACAACAATAAAACCTCTTCGAGGCCATTCCTAGAACATGCAATCGGCTTTTTCTCTTCCTCTTCATTCCAAGTGTTTGTTCCACTATCTCCTGCAGAATCCAGTCGGAACAATGACATAAACAAATAGAGACAAAGCTGAACCTATCAAAGAACATATAATCTCAGTTTCAAATGACATAGCATAGAACACTTGATGAAGGCTTTGAATGTCTTTGGGTTTTGAGATTAAGCTGCTTAACTGCATAGAATGCAACTGAAGCAGCTACCAAGAACCCTAGCCTGGCAATCATGGGCATTTTCCCATTCTTTCTAACACAAAAATGATGGAAACAAAGAAACCCCAGATTCTCATATTTCCCCAAGAATCCTATTTTTAGACGCTAAGATGATGAACTTTTGACAAAAAAAGTTTTTTTCAGGTTAGGGAATTCTTTAATAATAATAACTCCGTAACATTTAATCAATCGCAGCTATGTCAATGGAGTCAAATTTCGTTTTGTTTTCACAGAGTGGCCGATAAATAGAGTGTCAACAGCTCAAAATGTCAAAGCCAAGAAACTAAGGGAGCCACCAATTTCTAGTGGACAGAGTTTGTCCAAGCAGGTTGAAGATGGTGGGTTTGTGAATTCTTTGCTAGATTAGTTTAAGCCCAGAAGAATCGTTACTAAGACTGTACGGAGACTTTGAGCTTTGACTTGAGCATCAAATAAGTTTTTGGAGCTCATTCGCATTTATTTTTAGGCTCCATTTTGTACACGTAATTGAATTTGAATACGAATATTAAGAAATTAAATTGGATAGAATTGAATGAAATTTTAAATCTTAAAATATAAGTTTTAATTTTAAATTTTAAATTTTGAGATATAAGTTTTAAGTTTTAAATTTTAAAGTTTAAATATTTGATTTTAAATTCTAAATTTTGTTCTTAATTTTTTTTAGTTTTAAAAAATTAAATTTGAATTTTAATGTAACATTTGTAATAAAGAGCTAAATATAAAAAAATCTCCATTTTATAAAGGACTAGTTATAGAATTTACACTAGAGTTATTTCTTACGTAGTAATATGGAGAATGTGTGATAGATTTGTGAACTTGCTCATATAAAACTCTGTGTCTTATTTTAAAAATTTATAATAAGCATGTTTATCTCAACATTAAGCAAATGCAACATAATTTGCCTAAAATAAATTTGTCAAAGTAATTACTTTCATGATCTTTTGATAAAATAAAATTTTCAATCATGTCTTGATTTGATTAAAAAAATTGTTAATATTTTTGAACATATAATTTTTTTTAGTTTTGGATGATCACTTTGAGTTAGATAACATGATACTCTATCCCTTCAAATCTTAATTACTCTTTTTCTTAATCTCGTTACTTATTTGATAAAATAATATAATATTCCGTAATATCAAGGCTAGTTTTGTATTATAGGAAAATACGTTAACATATGTACTGACTGTGATGTGGGCAAGCTGAAGAGACTGACTTCCATCTCTTCTGGGAATGTCAAGTGGCGCAGAGGATCACAAATACATGCCTTAGTAACCACAACATACAAGAGAGAGATGAAGATCCAAGATTTGGATAGGATTATTCAGAATGAAGGGAGAAAGAACAAAATGAAAGTCTTAGCTATATGGGCTTGCTGTATTTACAGCATATGGAGAATGAGGAATAAGAGAATGCATAAGGATATATGCACCATGGAGGAGGCCATACAATTTGCACTTTATTATATTACTCCGTAGTAGTTTTTTTTGTTGGAACACGGGTTTACGTCTACGTCATACTAAACCGTGTTCATTTTATGACAGGTTTTGATAATGCCAAAACGCCGTGACATAACAAGGTTAAAGTGAGCAAAACCAAGGCGAAGGAACATGGCATGATGATTTGAGAACCAAGAACCAAGAACGAAGACTTAGAATTGTATTGAGTCGGTCTTAATGTGATCAAGACCGGCACAAACTTTCAATCCTTGGCTCTCTAGGCTCTTTTCATCAAAATGTTTTTTGCATATTCAAAAATGTTTTTCTTAAGTTTTAAACATGCCTAAAAACACTTGGAGTTCGCCTAAAGCAAAAACCAAGTCATCCGGTGTTCAGCTTTCAGAAACCGGCGTTCGGCTTTCGGTTTTCGGCATTGGCTTTTGGCATCCGAACCAACCAAGTGGTTTTCAACTTTTTATGATTGGTTTTTACTTCTGGGCCTATTTAAATAGTTCTCCAACAAAAACGCTTCAAAAACCACCTTCCGTTTTTGGTCGTTTAGTGAAAACCATGCGAAACGACACAAACTTGGTTAGCCGTGGTTTTCAACTAAATGACGTGGTTTTTGAGTTGTTTTACTTGATTTCTTAGCAAAATGCAATAAACAAATGTTTTCAACACTTGGTTTTTATTTTGGAGAACTTACGTTTTTGACATCGGCTAACGGCATGACTAAACCAACCATGGGTCTGGCTAAACCAGCCCAACAGCGATGTTGGTGCAACAAACAGCGCTGTCTGGCTTGGGTAGCTGAAAACCATGGTTTGGCGTTAAGTCTTCCAACAGCAATGTTGCACATTAGACATCGCTGTTGAGCCAAGGTTGGGTTTCCAGAAACACCTAGAACAGCGATGTAGCCTTCCCTACAGCGCTGTCCAACATAAGCCAAAAATATAGTGCATTGGCAGAAAGTTTTTGGACAACGATGTTGACCCAGAAACAGCGCTGTCAGGCCAAAACTCCACCTTCAAAGTCAGACCTAAGCAGCGATGTTCAAGTATTGAACATCGATGTAGGGACCTGACCGTTGGAAGGGATTTAAGGCTAAAACTTTCCTTGTTTGGAAGTCAACAGCCAAAACAACGATGTAGGAGTATTGGACATCGCTGTTGGCATGACCGTTGCTTCCCAATTTTCAAAACGCAAGCCTAGAACAGCGATGTCTAAGCCTAGGACAGCGCTGTCTGGGTGAATTTCAGTAGATCCAAATTTAATCAAATCCCACAAATTGTGCCAATCACCCCTTAAATGTTTTGATCCGTTGGAGCCTATTTTTCCACTATAAAATGGGGTGTTTGGGTCTGTTTTATATCATCACATTACTTCACAACTCCTATTCGTTCATTGCATATTATTCATACATTATTCATAGCTTTTCGAGAGCCATTTTTGTGAAGTTCGTGTTGTGATCCTGAGCGTATTACTTTACTCATATTCACTCTTTTGAGAGAGTCTTGTTCTTGAGTGTTCTTAGTTTTATAGACATTAAGGGAAGTTTGTTTCCCTTGGTTGTGCGAAGGAAAGGTACTTTCCTTCGGGTTGAAGTCTTGGAGTGCGGTATCTCCGAGCAAGTATTGTTGAGGCTCGTGGGACTCGAGTTCTCAGGTTGTAACGGTTTGTTAAGCACCCGTAAGCTTAACGGAAGTAGTGTAGCTCGAGAGAGTCTCTCGGGAGGCTGGATTAGCCACAAGTTGTGGTGAACCAGGGTAAAATCGGTGTGCCTCTTGCTCTTCTCTTTACTTCTCGTTTATTCATTTTTTATTCCTGCGATTTCTTGATCAAACGCTATTCACCCCCCTCTAGCGTTGGTCTATTATTCTAACATTTTTTTGTTTAGAAGAAGTAAAATGTAGGGCTGTGTGGTATTGATGTATTGAAACTTGGTGTTTGGTAATGAAGTTGTGTTTTATGTGCAAAAAAAAGGCTAGTTTTGTAGAACATTTGATATATATTTTAAAATATAAATCTTTTTTTCCATGCCAATTTTCAAAAGTCTGGAAGAAATATGATAATAACGCTTTGATAGAATTAAGCTGTTTTTTTTGAAAACTTTCAATTAATTTTAGTATATTTTATTTTACGACTTTATGATACAGTGTACTAATTAATTAAAATAATTATTTGGCGTGTTTCTAAATACATAAAAAATAAGAACAATATTATAAAATTTGTTACATAAGTATTTCCCTAAAAAAATTAGTATTAATTAGTATAATTTAATCCTCAAAATTATAAATTTTTTTAAATAGTTAAAATTTTGTTCTTTTTTCAAACAAAAACAATTTGGATTTCTAAAAACATTATAAAAACAGTTTTAAAAAAGAAATTTAACAAAGTTTGATTAATAAAAAACAAAAAAAAGGGTGAAAAACAAACGAAAAATAAGAAATGGGTACCTGTGGTCCCTATAATTTAAAAATTAAGCACCAATCCCCCTTTATTCCCTGAAAACATTATCGGAAAATGATTAGAGCGTGTAGAAGTGCAACATTTTGAAATCACGGAGATTTTAGACGTAAGTTTTGAAAATCGAGAGATAATAATACCAATTTTCTAAACCACTGAAGTACTGGTGCTAATTGGCCTGAAAAGAATGTTTCTATACAAGAGGTGAAAAAAGAATTTTTTTTAATTTTATTAAATACTCAATGAAAACTTACAAATAAATAAAAATTAGAAAGAGATAATTGAAAAAAATTAATCTAATGGGAGCGTGACCACCCCTCCACAATTCATTCAAATAAAGCGCCCCCGTGTATTTTACACCCGTGCGGTTCCAAATCAAGCATCCCAGTCTCTTCTACAAATCTGCAAATTCAAGAATTCGTTTCAAATTTCTGACGCAACACGCAAGAAAATGAAGGCTTTCCGCAATCTCTGGGGACGGGCGAAGATGTTGATTGAGCGTTACTGGCACAACTACAAGGAGAGGGCTAAAGAGATTTTCAGGGAAGTCTTTGAAGAAGCGATGGATTTCCATCAGGATGAAGAACCTGAAACAGTTCAAGAAGGGAATGTGGATGAAGAACCTGAAACATTTAGAGAAGGGAATGTTGGGGCAGAAGAAGCCCAAGAAGTTCAAGAGGAAAAGACAGAGCAAAAAGCCATATTCTCTTTTAAATGCCCTTTCTCTGGAGCCTGGACTGGTTTTACTGGCTATGATCCTGCTCCATGTAAGTTTTAGAAAGATCATCTATTTTCTGAAAAATCTTTTAAGTTTCTTCTTAAAATATCTGGTATGGGTTTCTTGACCAGGTTGCTCCAGGGCTACCTTGCCAAGATTGGGTATGAGTTTTTAGTGTGTACAATTGCAGAAACTGAAGAGATCTAGGGTTTCCATTTATCCAGTAAAGCTCAATTGCTGCGGTATTCTTCTCAATTTCCCACTTCGAAGGTGTGTCCAAGATTCAATCTATCTCCTTGGCCATCAACTGCTTTTTTTTTCTGGTTCTCTAAATTCACATTTAGTGTAAATGTTAGAACTCTTTGCACTGTCTGATATGCATGAAAAACAATGTATGTTGCTGATTGGAAGCAATCGAGTAGATATGTACTGAGCTGAGCTTTTAGTGTTTTCCTTGAAGCTGGAATTGAAAGCTTGGCTGTTTTTTTTCTGGTTCTCTAAATTCACATTTAGTGTAAATGTTAGAGCTCCTTGCACTGTCTGATATGCATGAAAAACAATGTCTGTTGCTGATTGGAAGCAATCGAGTAGATATGTACTGAGCTGAGCTTTTAGTGTTTTCCTTGAAGCTGGAATTGAAAGCTTGGCTGTTTTTTTCTGGTTCTCTAAATTCACATTTAGTGTAAATGTTAGAACTCCTTGCACTGTCTGATATGCATGAAAAACAATGTCTGTTGCTGATTGGAAGCAATCGAGTAGATATGTACTGAGCTGAGCTTTTAGTGTTTTCCTTGAAGCTGGAATTGAAAGCTTGGCTGTTTTTTTCAATACTGGTTTTGTGGAGAAAGTTTTGTTACTCTGTTTCTATTCGTGCCTCTGTGTGTAGGTGATGAATTTGGCTTTTTTTCTTACTAATTGTAGGGGAGAAAATGTTGATATATTAACATAACGATTATGCTTTTTTTGGTGTTTACAATATCGTCGCCCATTGTGCCTTGTTCTACGAGCAATTTCAACTTTGAAGTTAAAGATTCGTCTTAAATAATATCCTACATAGTGGATGATTGCAATGTTGAGGGTTTCATTCTGTTTAGAAGTGTTATGTGCTGTGACACTAGATCATTAAAATGTATAGTATGCTAGATTTTTTTTACTTGTCCAACCTGTTAATATAATCAGATTAAAATTGTTAAAAGTAAAACCCAGCCTGTGGTGTTCCTTGATTCTAATTCCTGGATAGTTTTGGGGAAGGAAAATCTAGAATGTAGATGAGTGTGCAAATTTTCAAGACTGGTATGATTTAAGGTAGTACAATGCCAGATGGAGCATAGACTTGCTAGACCTTTAAATTGATCTATAAATACATTAAAACCTATCTAAATATGGATAGGATTAGGACCAAAGCGGTCATATTTTAAATGACTATAGATGAGTGTGCAAGTTTAGTCAAGTTTTCAAGACTGTAGATGAGTGTGCAAGTTTTCAAGACTGTGATGAATATTTTTTTTATCAAATGACTGAGAACTGAAAAATATCCTATATATAGACTAGTATTGCACACGAAAAGGAACATAAAAACTTCATTTAAAGAAAAAACTATTACCTCTTTCATGTTGGGGAGGGATTTCATTTTGGCTTCAGCAGCATCTAGCTTCATCGCCAATTCTCTCTTCTCAATCTGAAGCTCTTTGTTCTTCCTCTTAAGCTCCATAACTTCCACCTCCAACTCCTTTAGAACTTTGACCATCTTCTCCATCTCAGCATCACCTCTCAAGGCTTCTCGCTCCTCTGCTTGAAGTACACTAACTTGTTGCTTAAGCAACAATAACTGTTCTTTTGTTCGGTTTCCTCAACCTGAATCTGCTTCTGCATCTCCTTTATTTTGTTCCTTGCCTCCTCTAACTCTTTTCTGGCAAAAGAGAACTTAGAAACCTTCTTTTGAAGCCTTTTCTTCTCATCCTGCAATCTGGTTATGGTAATATTGAGCACGTCAATCTCCACTGCCTTAACTTTGAGATGTTTTTGTAGCTCAAGAATGTTTGACTCTTGCTCCTTCAACCCATAATATTCCAACACTTCTGCTTCAAGCTTCACTTCTCTCTCCTCAAGCTCTTTGACAAGGTTTCTTAATTGTTCTATCTCATTTTGATCTTTCTTTGCATTTTCTGAATCATAAATATTACCGGGCAATGGAAAGTCCATCTCACCAGATAAAAGATGTTCGAATTAAAGAAAAAGGTCTTCTTCTATATTCAGTGGTTTCCTCAATGTGGGATTGCAAATTCCGTTCATTAGTTTGACCTCTTCTTCCTCTCCACCCTACACAGCATAAAACATACATGGAAAGAACTTTCTGGAGTACTTCAATATTATTAAGTGTGATTTTTGCAGAAAACTTTTGTTTCAGAACATATGTTGTTTAATATGGAGTAAATCAAGAGGGAATTTAATGTTAATATTACAAATTGGCAATTTCATCTCAATTTTGAATAAAAGTAATCAATTGTGGGCATTAATTAACAATAGTTTAGGCAACGAAAACAGACCCTGAAAAATCCCACACGTAAGGTATTGGGAGGATGTGTGTATGCAGACCTAACTCTTACTGAAAATGGAGAGGTCGGCAAAACACTACATATCACAATTTGTCCAAGGTCTTCTAGGAAACAACATCTCTAACTCTCTAAGTAAAGGTAGAGTCTAAGTACATCTCCTTCCCTCATACCCTATTCTTGAGTGAAATTTACTAGGTTTGTTTGGTTTGGTTAGGTAAACCACTGCCATATGCAAATGAGTTTCTTGAGCTCTGAACTTCATCCTTAAACAACACTAAAATAGTACATGAAAATATGTCGGAAAGGAAAAAAACAAGAGTCACAACTTAAGTGATCAACAAAGAATCATGTCAATTTTTTACTGAGTGGCACTTTAACGACAATAAAACCTCTTTGAGGCCATTCCTAGAACAAGTGATCTGCTTTTTCTCTTCCTCTTCATTCCAAGTGTTTGTTCCACTATTTCCTGCAGAATCCAATCGAAACAATGACATAAACAAATAGAGACAAAGATGAACCTATTAAAGAACATATAATCTCAGTTTCCAATGACATAGCATAGAACACCTGATGAAGGCTTTGAATGTCTTTGGGTTTTGAGATTAAGCTGCTCAACTGCATAGATTGCAACTGAAGCAGCTACCAAGAACCCTAGCCTCGCAATCATGGGCATTTTCCCATTCTTTCTAACAGAAAAATGATGGAAACAAAGAAACCCCAGATTCTCAGATTTCCCCAAGAATCCTATTTTATGACGCTAAGATGAACTTTTGACAAAAAAACAAAGTTTTTTTCAATTTAGGGAAGTCTTTAATAATAACTTCGTAACATTTAATCAATCGCAGCAATGTCAATGGACTCAAATTTCGTTTTGTTTACAATGAATGGCCGATAAATAGAGTATCAACAGCTCAAATTGTCAAAGCCAAGAAACTAAGGGAGCCACCAATTTCTAATGGACAGTGTTTGTCCAAGAAGATTGGAGATGGTGGGTTTGTGAATTCTTTGCTGGATTAGTTTAAGCCCAGAAATATCAAAGGGGTAGAGGCGCTACTGAGACTGTACGGAGACTTTGATCTTTGACTAATTGAGCATCAAATAAGTTTTTGGAACTAATTTGAATTTATTTTTAGGGTCCGTTTGGTACACAAAATTATAATCGAATTTGAATTTGAATGCTATGGAATTTTAAATTTTGAGATATAAGTTTTAATTTTTAAATTTTATATTTTAAATTCTAAATTTTAACTTTTAATTTTTTAATTTTAAAAAATAAAATTTGAACAAAATAAGTTTCAAGTTCTAAATTTTAAATTTTAAATTTTAAATTTTAAATTTTAAATTTTAAATTTTAAATTTTAAATTTTAAATTCTAAATTCTAAATTCTAAATTCTAAATTCTAAATTTTAAATTTTGTATTTATCAGTCTACAGTCATAGTCATTATTATAGTGTCGTTGTTCGTGTAACCAATATCAGAGTACATCACTAGACATAGAATTGATGTCAAGTTACATTTTTTAGGCTTCAAATGAACATATATATGACATAAAATAAAAAATGAGTATTTATGAAAACTACGTATAAAGAAGATCACAAAGATAATATTTGTAATAAAAGACTAAATATGAAAAACTCTCCATAGGAAGGACTAAATATTTGTGGCTCTTCGTTCTTGAACTATCGTGTGCCACATAATCACTATTGTCATACTAGGGTATGATTTAAATTAATACTCCATCCGTCTTAAAACTCATGAAAACTTTTATTTATTTGTACGCTTTAATATATTATTTGATAAAATAAAATATTTTTGTTTCATCTTATTTTGAAGAATTTTTGATGTAGTTTTAAAATATATAAATTCTTATTTATTTCAATACAAATCATTAAATGAAATGAAAAAAGTAGAAATTTAATTTCATTTTGCGTAATGTGACAAACATTTTGAGATCGATAATGTAATTTTGAAACTACTTTCTAAGAAAATTGATATCTTGTTGGCATTTTCGCAGAGAGTAAAATGAATAGATCATCACATGAACACAACTAATTAAATAATGTAACAAAATCAGAAAACATGTTTAACGAAGATGGGGTAATATTTAAGTACGTAATTTAATCATTCCAACAATAACAAAAATAGTGCGTATTATAACGTTGTCTTATGTTATGACGAAATTTAAACAGAACCTGATTAATTGGATGATGTGATTGTGAACATGCCAAAGATTTTTTTTCACATTATGAAAAAGCAAAAGACAAAGTAACAGTGCCAAAAAAGAACAAAGAGAAATGGGGAAAACACAGTTCACACCGCAAATTAGGCCAATATTTTTGGACTTTCTTTGATTTCTTCTTTACTTTTGTTTTCTGGCTTGTGTTGGAGGGTAACCCACACCCACATTGGACTTAATTATTTCTTCCACAAATGATAGGCCACTAATTTGGTCACTTTTCAAAACAAAATTTTCATTTCTTTTTTTTTGTAAAAATGTAAAATTATCAACTAATAATTGATATTTATAGGGGTGAAAAACAAATAAAAACCATGCTTATTTTTCAGTTTTTTTACAAAAAAAAAATATTAATTACTTATCACAATATTAATCATTCATTTACCACTCTCATCTAGAGATCCACAAAAAAAAATGTTTGAACCTTAGATCAACCATTAAACTTGTGCCGTAAATGATAGGATGAAAAGGGTCCGAAATGATAAGAAAAATTTGATAAAAGAATGTTAGTAGTTCAATTTTACAACTAAAAAGATTCAGTATCACACTGTCACACCGAGCTTACCTTTAGTGTGTGAACTTAATGGTTTTTTTCCAAAGTTTAAACTTTTTAATATTCTAACAAATAGTTGATTATTCATGACATGATTGGACTCATTGAATCACAAATAAATATCCCAAACAGTAAACACAAAATTGTTGTCGTGTAATTAGATTTGGGCTAGGAAAATTGAATCAAACCAAGTGGTGGCACATGCGCTTGACAACGACCAAACCGGAAAGCATCTTCGATTCAATGACCGAAAAGAAGTTGGCACAAGACCACAAGTTTTTTTTTTACAGTAAAGTCTTTGAAACATCATTTTTTTAATACTTAACCAAAATAGGCAGGCAAAAACTGCCACTCTTCC